TTTCCTTTTTTGAGACTGAGTCTTACTCTTGCCCAGGCTGGAGTGCAGTGGCACAATCTCGGTTCACTGCAACCTCCATCTCCCGGGTTTGCGCAAGCGATTCTCCTGCCTCAGCCTCCCGAGTAGCTGGGACTACAGGCATGCACCACCACACCCAGCTAATTTTTGTATTTTTAGTAGAAACGGGGTTTCACCATGTTGGCCAGGCTGGTCTCAAACACCTGACCTCAGAAAATCCACCTGCCTCGGCCTCCCAAAGTGCTGGGATTATAGGCGTGAGTCACCGTACCCAGCCGATTCCCTTCTTAAAACCGTCTTCTCCTCATAAAGGTTCTCCTCTGTTGCTGGGGAACCACTGTCAGTCCTCTCCGCGCCAGCTGCTAGTTACATGAGTGTAGACTCGGGGGATCCGAAAAGAAGGCTTTCCAGTTGACTCTTACTTTGACATACCCAAGACAGGCAAAATCAATTGTATATGGTAAGATTTACTTATCATTCACATTTCTGGCAATAAGCTGAGAATTGGGAGGCAAATGAAAAACAACTTCTCCACAGCCAAAATAGATGTCAAAGTCCATCCACTAAAGCAGGCGGCATTATTTCAGGTTTACCTTTGAAAGACCATAGACTTTGGAGTCAGAAAGTCCTGGAACCGAATGCCAATTTCACCACTACTACCTGTGTAAACTTGGGGAGATTTATTCAAGCGCTTGAAGCCTCCATTCTCTTGGCTGTACAGTAGGGATAACAGTACCTAGGTCGTAAAAGTGTTACAGGGAATAGCGAGGTCCTGCATGTAAGGTGCCTAATCCTTTGCCGTCCTGCATGTAAGGTGCCTAATGCTTTCTGTGGTACATAATCGTTAAACAATAGAGAGGCCGTTAGTATTCTACTACACCAGGCTCTGTAGGTCCTTTCAATGTTCATGTCCCCAGGGTGTCACTTGGCTTCCCTTACAACTCTCCAATTTCATTCAGGACTGTGGCTAGTTTTTACTTCGGGTACTTCTACAACCACTCGTTGACTAATCTGGAATTTTTATACTTAGCCCTTTTCTCTTTCTGCAGCCCCAGGCAGGCTTCTGAAAAAAAGGACAGGAGTCCTCTGGGAATCGCCGTGGAAGCAGCACCAAGGCAGAGAGAGAGGCTTTGGGGGCAAGGCCATGTGTGTCCACTAGAGAGACTAGTGCCAGCCCAGGCCAGCCAGGAAGAACAGAGAAGGAAGCTGATCCTAGCCCAGATGTCATACCCCTGTCGACTGCATAAAACTCCCGGACAGGAAGGTAAGTAGCGTGCCACCTGACTCCGCTGCTCAGGGCCAGCGACTGTCTTGCGCGTCTGTACATTTCCGGTGGCTGGCCCAGGGCTGGGCACATAGTAGGCACACAGGTTTGCTGAAGAGCACTAAAGTCATTGTCAAAATGCAGCAGGGCTTTAGAACACATATAGTATCGCAATCACCGACTCTTGTGTCATAATCCAATTTTGTGTAATTTTGGAGAAGTTACTAAATTTTTCCAAGCCTGTTTTCTCATATCCAAAACAGGGATAATGTTAGCATCTGGCCCATAATGTTGCTGTGCAATAATGTTGGACATAACACACATAAAGAATTTAACATGGCCGGGTGTGGTGGCTCACGTCTGTAATCCCAGCACTTTGGGAGGCCGAGGTGGGCGAATCACCTGAGGCCGGGAGTTCGAGACCAGCCTGACCAACATGGAGAAACTCTGTCTCTACTAAAAATACAAAATTAGCTGGGTGTGGTGGCACATGCCTGTAATCCCAGCTACTCAGGAGGCTGAGGAGGTTGCAGTGAGCTGAGATCGTGCCATTGCACTACAGCCTGGGCAACAAGAATGAAACTCTGTCTCAAATAATAATAATAATAATAATTTAGCACATAGTTGCTCAATCATATGTTCAGTCAGTTAGTTATTGCTATTATTATCAGTGGGTGAGATTTCCCAAGGCTGGAGTAATGGGAACCCTCTAGAGGGAAACAAAGGAAGCCAGGGCATAGCTGGTAGAAAACAGCAAAAAAGGAATGCAATTTGTTGTTGTTGTTTTGAGACAAGATCTTGCTCTGTTCCTCCGGCATGAGTGTAGTGGTGTAATCATAACTCACTGCAGCTTTGAACTCCCAGGCTCGAACAATCCTCCCACCTCAGCCTCCCGAGTAGCTGGAACTACCAGCACCCACCAGACACCCACCTAATTTTTAAAATTTTTTGTAGAGATGGAGTTCCGCTATGTTAGCCAGGCTGGTCTCAAACTCCTAGCCTTAAGTGATCCTCCTGCCTCAGCTTCCCTAAGTGTTGGGATTACAGGCGTGGGCCATATACTGGCCAAAATTGCCATTTTTAAGAGAGATTCAGAACAAGGAAGAACGGGTTCACTTTTAAGGGAAGATGGTAGAATGTCAACCAAGAGCGAAGCCAGAATTACTCAACTCTCAATAAAAATCTGTCCTATGTAAGAATGATCTTCAAATTACAACAAATGAAAATAAGCATTGTTTGAAAAGGAAATAGAAGCTCAATAACACAGAAGGAGGAGAGCCCGTGAGCATCTCGCTACATTGATTTTTGTCTCCAAGCTCATCAATGACATCAGAGGAGACAGTCAAATAATTTGCAGATGTGATCAGCATGTGTAATCTGCAGGACTCAGAGTAAAAGCTTTCCCAGTCTTCAAAGGGGTGTGTGTACTGGAAGGAGAGTAAGGAGCGGATTCTGGGAATTGCAAACCACTGGGCCAAACGTCAATCCCCAATGAAACAGATGCTCTGTGACCATTTAGAAAAGAAACACTTGATGACTAGGAGCCAGTTTGGGTTCACTGGAAACAAGGCAGGTCGAACACATTTGTCTTCCTTTTTAAAGGGGTTTTATCAACTGGTGGAACAGTAGATTTAATTTGCTAACGTGTTGCATCTTACGTATTCAGCATTTATGAAACACTTCTGGGCCAAGGATAGAAAGATGACCAAGGTATGGTCTCAGAAGGAGCGCACATCCTGGTCAACTGGTGGTCACCTGTGGCTGGATAGTCATGACTTTAAGTGGCATCATAACAGATGTAATAACTCTTCTCAAAGCCTAGATTAACAGATTAATGTCAATTTGGAGGGAAATCTTGGTTCTTCTTTGGTTTGTGTGCTGTTCTATGTTTTGATCAAAGGCCAGGATGCAGACCTAGAAGACGTGCTTATCAAAGGAGCTCATGGCAGAGGTAAGAGGAGGGCTACCTGATGAATGCTGACTTTCTGATTCAAAATGATCTTGAGATGTCGAACTGAACAATGCAACCAATAATAGAATCGAATCCAGCTCAACGCTGCACTATGACATTAAGAATCGTGTCCCAATCAAGGAAAAGAAAGTCTTGTAGCTCATTCTTGGGAGCAATAAAAATATGAAGGACACAGAAGGTTTGGGGTTGGTGCAGAGGTCCAGACTCTGTGAAAAGACCGTGAATGGCTCTAAGGAGGGATGGGAGTAATCTCCCCACGTTACGAGGACTGACATGGGAAAGAGGGAGTGAATTATCCTAAATTGCTCTTGAGGAAAGTACTAGAGCAAGTAAGGAGCTTAAGGAAGAAGAAGAGATGTTGTAACATTAAGACCTGGCTACAGGCCAGGTGTGGTGGCTCACGCCTGTAATTCCAACATTTTGGAAGCCTGAGCCGGGAGGATCACTTAAGGTCAGGAGTTCAAGACCAGCCTGCGCAACATGGCGAAACCCTGTCTCAACCAAAAATAGAAAAAAAATTGGCCGGGCATGGTGGCGCACATCTGCAGTCCCAGCGACCCGAGAGGCTGAGGTGGCAGGATCGCTTGAGCCTGGGAGGCAGAGGTTGCAGTGAGCTGAGATCGCGCCACTGCACTCCAGCTTGGGTGATAGAGTAAGATTCCATCTCAAGAAAAAATAAAAAAAGAGCTGGCTAGAGAACAGAATGAATTATTCTGAAAAGTAGTGAGCCTCTCATCACCTTAGGTATTCAAACCGGGATAATCAACCATGCAGTGGGAAACCTGACCGGACAGGCTTGGGGGCCCTCCCCACACTCGGTGTCCACCCTGCTTGCCACCAATTAGTAATGAGTAGGGAAGGCTCCCTGAAGGAGGTCACATCCGAGCTAGACTGTGAAGATGGAGACAGCTCTGACCCGATCCCGTAGGGTGCCCGAAGCCAGCCCCATGTGGCAGTAAGTATGAGAACTGGGCACTTCTCCACAAGGTAAGACAGAAGGTGGAGCTGAGCTTTCTCTATGGATCACAACTGATACAGCAGGTGACAGGTAGAGGAAGGAGAAATAGAGTGCCAGTGGAGAGCCAGAAACAAAAAATCAGGCCCACAGAGCAAAGACCGGAGGGTCCTGGCCTGAGCAAGAGGAAGGGTGGATGGGAAGGAGAGACCCACCAGGCAGCATCCTGCTGGAGACACTTCTATCATTCCTTAATCGTTCCCAGGACCAGAGCCTGTCAGAATTGGGAAGAGCCCTTCAGGAGCCCCTGGCCCAAGCCCTGATGAGATGGATGAGAGTTGAGGGTCAGGCTGAGCAGCTCATCCAAGGGAACCCAGACCTGAGAAGGGCTCCAATCCCACCTCAGTCCTTGTTAGCTGTGTGACCTTGGGCAAGTTACTTAACCACCCTGTGCCTCAGTTTCCTCATCTGTAAAATAAAGGTGGAGGTAGCCATAAAAGAGGTGACGTAGGAAAAGCACCCAAGAAGAACTAGATAATCAAAATAGACCTACACAGTAAGTGCTATCTGCAAATTAACACTAATTTACAATTATTGGGAGATGCCGGGGAAGGCGGTGAATGCCGGGAGCCCCTTCCCACAGCAGTGCCCCATCAGCGCTGTGGACTCAATGCATTTACGGTAACCAGGTAGGTCGCTGGTACCCATATGGATCCCCACCGTGGGGGAAGTCCCTGAGGTATGGGGACCCGCAGGGGAGGGGAAGGCTCAGAGGCCGAGCCCACACGTACCTTCTCCCCGGGTGTGACGGAGATGCGCCACACGCAGTGCATGTGAGCAGAGTAGCCGTTGGGGTATTCAGGGGAGGAGAAGTTGCCTGTGCTGTCTTGCAGGGTCTCTCCACAGGCTGTGAGGAAAGGAAATGACAGCGCAGGGCTGCAGGCGCCAAATCCCCCCACCTTCTGGCTCACCCACCCCTGAGCCCTGGCATCCTCTGAGGGAGGGGAGAATGCCCGAGGAGTGGGAGGGTGCCTGCAGCAGTCCTGTCCCTGTAAGATCCATCCCCTCTGCCTCACATACAGCACACGCCATCCTACCTCCCAGCCCAGCGCTGCCCTGTTTGTGAAGGCAATATGGGTTCCAGAGTTAAGGTCAAGCTCCCTTGGTGGGGCTCCGTGCCACCACCTCCCTCTCCTAGGATTGCCCTGTTGTTCCCCACTTTTGCCCCTACAGACCCTCAGAAGGTGGCGGCTCAGCTTCTGACCACCACCTGAGCCTACCCCCAGCGGCCTCCTTCACTTGGACACTGCCCCTCCTATGGGGTCCCCTCCCCCGCCACATCATTCTCTAAAACTTAGGCAGCCTAAGCCTTCTTGGTGGCACCAGGCACCTGGCCTCTGCCTCCCTCAGGCCCTGCCCTCCACGCCTTCACCCATCCCTTCTCTGCCCTGACCTGGGCACTTGTAAAGCTTGCGGGCTTGGGCAATGTCCCCCTTGCTGAGCCGTGTCCTTTGGCCAATGGGAGGTTTCACCCCGTTCACCTCATACTTGGGGACAATGGTATCCAGGAAGATGCCCCTGAAGAAGAGGGAGAGAAGGAAGGGTGAGCGTCTTGTGGACAGTGGGCAGGGAGTGGGTGGCATGCCCATCCGTACCCACAAGTCGCGACCCTGCTGGAGCTCAGACATTCCTCAGCAGGGTCAGGGCCGGGTGGAGACGTCTCACCCTGTCATTACACTGCCCACTGACCAGCAGCCACCCTGCTCCGTGGCAGCCACGCCACAGGAGTCGGGGGAGCCCCAGGAACACTTTGGGAGGTCAGGGATGCAGGTCCAGGGTGCCCTGAGACCCACTGGTGCCCCCAGTTCAGGCTGGCCACGACTCCCAGCCCCAGGAAAGCTACAGGCCCCTAGAGGGTCATCTTTCCAACCCCACTGGGCCCCTGCTTCTGCAGCCCCTCATGCTGCTCCAGCCCTAACTAAACTTCTCCCAGGACTCCCTAGGCCAGCTACTCACCCTGCTGGCACAGGCTGCATCTGAATGCACCTGGAACAAGGCCAAAGGCAGATTCCACTGCAGCCAGACCAAGCCCCGGGGACAGCCCCACCAGCTCCCCATCTATCAGTGTCTCCTGTACCCCCCATTCCTCCCTTCTGAATCCTGGGTGTTTGCACTGGGAGGAGCAGAGTGAAGGGAAGGCAGGCAGCCCTCCACCTCCCCAGGGCCCCTGACTCACACCCAGCTGGGTGGATCACAGCAGGGGGTGCGGTGGGATGCGGTGGGAAATGTAAGGCCGGGTCTGTGGGTGTGGGGGGGCAGAATGACCTCACCACCCCTCCTTGGTCTCTGTTCCTGCAGGTCTGCAGGCAGGAAAAGTGGATTGGGTAGAAGCACTGAGAAGAGGGGGCAGGGCCACTGTCTGGGACACAGACAGAGGATGAGCAAAGCACCAGGCCTGGGAATGGCCAGGCCAGGAAGGAGTGTGAGGAGGAGGGAGGCGCCGTTTCCCACACTCTGCTAAGGAGAAGCTTGGGGGAGGGGAGGCTGGGCCACCACCTTCGAGGGTTCTAGTTGTGGCTTCTGGGGACCTGGGCATCGGATAAGGGGGATGTGCTTTGGAGTTGGGCATGGGGGTTAGTCCAGGGCAGGGGCCTGGCTTCATGCAAACTGACCAATTACAAAAAAAAAAAAAAAAAAAAAAGCAGACTAATTAAAAAGGAATGGCTGGGCATGGTGGTTCATGCCTGTAATCTCAGCATTTTGGGAAGCCGAGGTGGGAGGATTGCTTGAGCCCAGGAGTTCGAGACCAGCCTGGGCAATATAGTGAGACCCCATCTCTCAAAAAAAGTCATGGTGGCGTGCACCTGTCATCCTAGCTACTTAGGAGGCTGAGATGGGACAATTGCTTGAGCCTAGGAGTTTGAGGTGCAGTGAGCCATGACTGCCACTGCACTCCAGCCTAGGTGACAGAGCAAGACCCTGTCTCAAACAAAAACAAAAACAAACAAATGGCCCACAAATAAAAGCTCAGCACCCTTTGGGCTGATAGTTTGGGGCTAACCCATACTGCTTGGCTTGCACAGTGGTTGGGTTCAGCCTCCTCTGCCAGGTGCCCTCGGTGCACACAGTGGTAAGGCCCTGCCACAGCCCCACCCGTGGAAGAGGACAGGAGGGCAGGCAGCATCCGTGGACCCTCTGCTTGGAGGCCACAGTCCCCCGGAGGGCCACTCTTTTCCTGGGTCACTGCCCCAGAAGTGGGAGGCAGAAGGAGAATGGCCTACAGAGGGCAGGGTGGGGCTGCCCCAGCAGAGGCCCAGCCCTGACCCCATCTCCTACCTGGAGAACGTGTTCCGAGCATAATGCATGATGCTGTCAAAGTCATAGGTCTCCCCCAGGGACTCCACCTCCTGAGGCTCCATCTTCAGGAAGTTATACTCCTGCCCTGCGAAGATCAGGAAAAGGGTGTGTGGGGAGGGAGGGAGTGGGTCTGCCTGGGATGCAATGCTCCCTTTCCAGGGCAGGAATGGGGTCCTTCCTGTATCTGAGAGGGCCCCCCTACCTGAGGGTCCGGGGAGCAGCCAAGGGGAGCCTGGGGAGTGGGGAGGGTCTCAGGAAGAGTCCTATCCAGCAGAGGGCCTAGTGAATGGAGGACTCAAGGGGACATGGAAAGAAAGCACCCATTTCTAGAGCCGCAGCTGAGAAGCAAGCAGTGAAGAGTGGAGAATGCCTGGGAGAGAGGGAGGAGGTGGGAAGGGAGGGACAGAGATATCGAGAAAATGAGAGAAAAGCCCTCAGAGGTCAGACCAGGCAGAGGACAGAAAGTGGGCAAAGGTGGGGAGAAAGGCCTGAGCAGTCCCCAGGAGGGGCCCACTACGCCCATGCCCCACCCTAGAGGCTGCCCGGGCTACCGCTGTCCAGGACCAGGACCCGGCCCAGCCCCCCAGAGGAGCTCCACAACGGATGCAGGTCCTTGATCTGCCACGGAGGAGGAAATGCCTCAAAGGCAAGGGCCGGCTCAACCCAGGCTGAGGGTAGCGCTGAGGGCCCAGGCGATGACGGCTGGCAGGAGCGGCTCCTACTGCCCCCAGGGTCCCTGGAGGTGGGGGTTGGGGCAGGAGCCGCCCACCAAGGCCGCACCGAGGGGCAGGTACCTACCTGGCTGGATGTTCTCACGAACGATGGAAACGTGGCGGTCCCGGTCTGGCCGAGTGTGTTCGTGCCAGAAGCCGACGACGTGGCCCAGCTCGTGGACCACGATGCCGAACTTGTCACAGTTCTTGCCGATGGAATGATGGCTTGGGGGCGGCCGGTGCACGTCGGCGACCACAGTAGAAGCAGCACCTGGAGGCGGGGGCCATTCAGCTCAGGGGGCCGTCCCGGAGTCTGGGGGAGTGCATGCCACTCAGGGCGGGGCCAGGCTGCCGGGGAGTGGTGGGGGAGGTGAGCGAAGGGAGGTGGGCCTGGCGGCCCTGAGCGGCTCGAGTGCCCAGTGCTAGTGTGTTGTCTATGGTGAGGTTCACGAGCCGGAGAGGAGGAGGGTCAGAGGGGCAGTTCCCCTTGGGGGAAGATGGCGAACTGCCAATAGTTAGCAGTTTGAGGGGACGAAAGGGACCTCAGGCCCTGGCCTCAGCTGGGGGCAGTGCAGTGCCCAGGGAAGACACTGGGTGGGGCAACGGCATGAAGGTGTAGTGCCTAGGGCTTTTTCCGTGCACTCCAGCCCCCGAAGGGGTGTGGGGGATGTGTGGTATTTGAATAACATGAAATGAGGAACCCGCAAGGTCGATAGGATGAACACAATATAGCTTCCTCTGTTAGCGATATCCTGTGAGCGCTTTCTCAGGAAGTGTGAGCACAGTTGCTTCTACTCGGGCTCCCAGTGCCACTCATGTCTGCCTGGAAAGCTGCGCTTAAATTGTATTTGTTCTTACCGTTGCCAGGTTAAAGGTGTTAGTGAAGAGCAGGGTTTGCAGAGGTCAATGGGCACCGTTACACCCTCACCGCAGATTTCCTTTGATGTGATTTGTTGATGTGTTTGGGTTGGGGGTGGGCGGTGGAGTCTCCCCACCATACCCGAGAAGAGTCACAGCCCATGTCTGAGAGCAGACTGCCCAGAAGGAAAGTGGGGGCATCGGCTGGCAGATGGCCAACCACAGCCTTCCGTGCCTGGCAGGGCTGCCCCAAGGCCAGGGCGCAAAAAGCTGGACTGCACCCTGTGGCCACAATTAGCATGTGCTCACCATCGAAGTTTCCCCAATGACATAAGGGAATGACACCATGAGCACACATGCGTTCTGGTGCTGGTCGGGCGGAGATCTAAATGTAAAAATGGTCAAATAATAAGACTATTTTAAGGGAATCAAGAGGATTATCATAATCTGTACCTGGCCAGACCGCTTATTAATAAACACCAAAAAACATGGAACAAACAACAACAAAACCTGAAAGAAGACCTGTGAAAGAAAAAGACGACATACTTGAACTTTACCAAAATTATAAACATTTTAAGTTAACTGATATATTTATCCATAAAGGCAAAAGAATAAATGGTGACGAGGAAAATCTAGTCCTGCAGTACTTATGATTAAACAAGAGTTTTGTGTAATATTAATCCTTAATCTTATACACATACTTAGAATAAGAGAGTACAATTAGAAGAAAGTCCAGGCTGGGCATGGTGGCTCGTGTCTGTTCCCATACATTTGATGCATTTTGGGCGTTGTGGGATTCGGACAGAAGCGAGAGATTGCTTGAACCCAGTGGAGTTTTTTTACCAGAGTCCAGGCCTGGGCAACATAAGTGAGACCTCGTCTCGAGCAAAAAAAAAAAATCAAGAAAATTAGCTAGGTGTGTTGGATGTGTTGCCTTATTGTGGTCCCATATGCCACTTGAGAGACGTGAGGTAGGAGCATTACTTAGCCCAGGAGGTAAGGCTATGGCGAGCCAAGATTAGGTCATTGCATCCAGCCTGGGTGATAAATGAAACCTATCTCCAAAAAAAGAAAGAAAGAGAAAAGAGAACTAAAAGTGCAATGGCATTCAACTGAAAATATGCAAAAGACATAAGACAGTTATCAACTAGAGAGAAAAAAATGCGAAATATATCGGAGACTTTGTATATCATAACGTGAAATGGAAAAGGTCAATCTCACATGAAGGTTTTAAATCAGAAACACAATAAACACAATGAGATATCGATTTTACTTTATACAATCTAATGATTTTAAAGGGAGAAAAAAAGTCTAGAGCTGCTAAGCCCCAGGAATACCCTCTCGAAGTTGATAACAGTGAGAGTCATATGGTTTTTGGTTCTGTGTCCACACACCAATCTCATACTTGAATTGTAGTTCCGCATAATCCCCACATGTCCTTTGGGAGGTGACTCAGTGGCCAGTTAGATTGCAGTTCGTGCAGGTGTATCTCGGTTACCGTGATATGGGTTGAATCTCATGGCTGGTTCTGTGTGATAGTGAAGTTCTCACGAGATCTGATGTTTTATAGGGAGGTTTTGTATTATGGTTGGTCTCCTGTTGCTTGGGCGTCCTTGAAAATTTCTTCTGCTCTTCCATAAGGTCTCATCCTGCTGCCACGTGTGAAGAAGTGATGTGTTTGCCGTTCCCTTATGCCAGTAATGATTATAAGTTTCCTGAGGTTCTCCTCTGGCT